GTGACGACCTTAAGCGATTACTTGAAAGAATTTACGGGAGCGCGGGGTTTATATAAGAGCTCAAGAGAATCTCAAAGTAATAACTTAAAATTAACAACTACCGAATGTAAAGGTCGAAGGTAGCTATAGTTTATATACACGAAGGTAAGAGCGCCAAGGACTCGTAAATTATAGTTTATAAGTCAAAAGAAAAGAAGAAAAGAATACGAAAAATACGAAAGAAAAAAGAAAAAGGTTGCTTAGCGCATATACAAATACGTTTAAAAGACTTAGCGTATCGTTATATTACTTCTTCGTTCGAAAAAAGCTTGTTTTCGAGCGTTTATTTATTGCTTTATTATTGCTTAAGTGATCGTAATGATTAATATTGTTCGAATATACTTTAATTTATTCGAGAAGCTTCGCAAGCGGGCCGAAAAGCTTTTTGTATTTTAAATAAACGTTACGTACTTTGGAAAGCGTATACAAAGTCGAAAGTGGGGTACCAAGTAAAGTTAATATTGCGGCCGAGCTAAGAAGCGCGGTATTTAAAGTGCTTTTTGATTTAGCACACGGTTAAAATGTTTTTTATTTCGTACTTAAGTTCGCCGGTAATATTAATCGGTTTATGTTTAAAAATGATTTGCTTAAAAGTAATGTAGAAGCACCCAAAAAGATGTGCCGTATAGAAGCCTGGCTCTGAGGCTAGACCTTATGGTCTCACAAAGGAAGTGTCAAAAAAGATAAATAGAAAGCTCGTTGATTGTTCTAGCTAAAAGATGTGTGCCTTCTTATAAAAGATAAGTCCGTCTAGTATAGCCCTAGTAGCCGTAGCAAGTACTTTATTAAGCAAGGTGTTTACATCCGTCCTTTTATAAAATAAATAAGCGCTCCCGCTTACTATCAAGCAAGAAGAAAAAAAAAAGGTATAAAAAAAAGAAAAAAAATCTAGTATATAAAAAAAAAGAGGTATCTTGTTTCTAAACTCTAAACATCTAAACTACGCTTTAGCAGCTTCTTTATAATCTCTTTCCGTGCTTACGTCCTTAACTCTTTCGTTCTCTTTAAGCTAAGAAGGTCTTCTTCTTTTAGCAAAGCTAGCATTAGACGATGACGTGCTAGCAGTAGCATCTTTAAAAGTAAAAGAGCGCGTATCGTTCTTGCGCTTGTTGCTAATAGCATCGTTAATAAGTGTGAACTTAACCGACAAAAGGTTAGTAAAGCTAAAATAAAGTCTAAAGCTATTAATTAAATCGTCTTTGTCTTCGAGCAAGTTATTTAAAGCTTTTATAGCTTTATCGAATACGCGGTTTAAAGATTCCGATTAAGAAGATAATGCTTTAAAGTCGTCGATTTAGCTCGTAAACCGTAGTTCACGAATAGATTTCGCACTTTTTAAATTGATCTTTATACTTAAATCGAAGTCGTTAAAAAACAACTTAATCGGTCGCAAGCTCTCTTTAAAATCCTTTAACTTATCGGCGTTTATAAAGTCGTTAGCTCGGCGGCTCTTGCTTTTAAAAAAGGACTTAGCTTCGTAAGTCTTAGCTTTAATATTTAAAACAATAGCAAATCCTTTTTTAAATAACGAAAACAACTTTTTCTTATGCTTAATAAAGTGTTTTTAAAATTAAGTTCGAAATATAATAAAAATAGCAGTCAATTCTTTTATCACTTAAAGTTCGTTTTAATTTATTCTTTCGATCAAAGCTTTTAATACGAAACTAACGTAATCTAATTAAATTATAATAGCGAAGAGCTAGCTTGATTTATTAATAACTCTTTACCGAAAGGTTAGCGGCATGCGTTTTAAGACGATCGTGCAAGCGTGTTTTGCAAAGCTGATTTTATTTTTTAAAATGTTATCGTTTAGCAAAGCGGTATAATTATTAAAGAAAACCGCTTATCCGCAAAAGGAATTCTAAAAAGCGTTTATATTTAAGAAAACACTTTGTTTCGTAATAACGGATATAAAAATAGCGAGATTACTAACTATAACGAGAAGTTAACGTAGCGCAATATTCTTGAAAGTATTTAAAGTTTTCGATTTAAGTTTAAAAGCTTTTTATCTAGCGGTCTTTTTAAGAGTAGTGTCGTAAATATAGCTTTTAAGCTAAATAACTAAGCTTCCGATCTAATTGTTTACGCTGTAAAGTATTAAATAATAGTTTAAAACTTTATCTTTTATTCGTAAACTACGGTTCACGAGTCGTTTAATATTAGCGTTATGCTTGGTCGCAATCACTCGAGCATTATTATTACATTTAAAAAGCTAAAAAGGTTCCGAGTAAGCGATAAGCTTATAATTCTCGTCTTAGCGATTAAGCAAAGCTGCAAGATATAACTTATAATAGCTTCGGAAAACTTATTAAGTTAAAGAATGCATTATATTAAAGAGTGCATTAGTCAAAGCTCTTCTTAAATCACTAGTCCGAAAGTAATGCAAGTATATCTAGATTTCTTTGTTTATAATAATAAAAAAAGTCTAGTTGCTGTGCTTATCGTTTAAAAAAGAAGCTTTTAATATAAGCTAAACTTTCGTATAGCTACTCGCATTTATAATGTTAAAGAAGCTGTTTTTTTAAACAGTGCTTATCAAGCTAGTGCTTTAGTTTAGCTTATTAAAAGACATCGGCTTAGCTTTAAACTTAGAAAAGCTTAAGCTAGATATTCTTTTAACTAAAGTACTGCTTTTAGTCTTAATAGCGAATATCGATTAGTTGCTCGAGTGAAGCATAAAGTTGTTAAGAGCGTTAGTTTAATAAGCTTCGATAAATCGATATAAATTAAAACGGATTATTATTATTATAAAGCCTTTCGTAGCTAGCTTAAAGTATTTAACGTATTCGAAAGTATAGACTTCGTAAAAGACTTTATCTAATAGTTCGATAGCGAACGATAAGACTTTACAGTTAAAGCGGAGCTTCGTTTAAACGTTTAAGTCAAAGAGTTCTTTAAATTTATTTTTAAATTTTAATACGTTCTTCACTTCTTAAAAGATCTTTATATAATCGCAATCGTCGTTGTTAAAGCTTAAATTAAAGATCTCGGACAGCAAGAAGTAATTTATTATTTTGCTTCTTTTCTTATTTACTTTTACTTAGCTACGACGGTCGAAGAGTCGTAAGATCGCGTTATTAAAAAATTCGTCTTTTAAAAGCTTGCGGATTTAATTAACGGCTTTTTTAGTCGACTTTGCGGCAACTTAAAAAGCATTATCGATATTCTCGTTTAAGTTCAAGCGGTCGAAAGCTAATTAATAAAAGTTTTAGCAAAAGTTAATAAGAGCTACGTCTATACTTATAAAGTCTTTAATCTCGACGAATCCGAAGCAGCGGTTTAACACGGCTTTAGTTAATTCGTACTCGAGGCTGTCTTTTTCTTTAACGAGTAGTGCTAATAGCAGCTAGTCTTTAAGAAGGTCGCGTTATACTTTAAGTATAAAAGTTAAAAAAGAGTTCGCGTCGATAGACTTGCGTAAAATAAACATAATCGAAGCAATTAGTTTAACGGTCGAAAGCTTATTAGCAAAAGATAACGTCGATCTTTAAGACAAAGTTAATAACAACGAAAAGCGCGTAATAAATAATTTAAACAAAAAGGTCTTAAAAGCAAAAGGTTGACTTAATTTTGCTTTAATTGCTAAATCATTTAGCACTCGTGAATTATAATT